TTCGTTTGTACGGTGAAAACAATTCCCAACTCCCGGATCATAATTCTGATGTAGAATTTCACAAAAGAAATAAACGACTTCAAAGTTTGAAGCAAAAAATACATGTAAATAACCGGAAAGTTCCGACTTTTTTGCAGCCTCACTCATTTTTAGAACAAAACTGCATGGAATACGGCTTCCACAAACAAGGCGTACGTAGAAAGAGTGAAAATTGATTGAAAATTTTAACCAATCATATTTTTCCACATAGTCTACGTGTAAACTGCGATAAGTAAGGAGCGACGAAGCTTTGTGAAGGCAATTCTCTACTGAACAAGTTTTTTAACTTGAATCCCTTAAAGTTTTATATTAGAATTTTATGCATGATTAAATTTTTAAAGTTTCAGAAAGTCGAGACGAGTTCTCTGGATAAAACGGCAAATAATAACAAATTGACAACAAGCATTTTACCGTAGTATTTAAATTATTTATAAAGGAAAAGGAAAATATTATGAAACTTTTAAGTTGTGTTGGAACAAGCGACCTATCATATTCACTGAGAAGTTTGAATTTATTATCACGGCGTTATTATTAAACGTAAACTTTCTTTTGATATTGTAATTTCAATTCCATGTTTAAGATCCTTAGCAAGCACCTAGTTCATTCAAGAATAAAATTCATTTAAAATGATTCAATATTTCCTTGAGAAACTGGAAATGAACTAAGAGCCTTAAATCCGCTGAAAATCCTATTTAACATAAACCACAATTTCATAAATAAATAGTCTTTCACCCACTAAGATATATGTTCTAATAACTTAAAATATCTGAAAACAATGTCTTCTCAAGATTTATAAATCTTTTTTGCTGTAACTAAAGTTGCGAAATAAATTAATTCTACATTAAAATTGAGTTTTATGTTTGTCAAGCTGGTTTCATTAAAAAACCCAAGTTTGTATCGTAACTTCTTTTGGAACATGCTGTATGGTTGAAAATAATTTTAGGTGATACACTAGATTAGTATCTATCAATGTCCTCTACAATTTTTTTAATTTTACCATTTAAAAGTCACTAATGTACTTTTTCAACTCGCTAGGACATCCTGTATGTACTACAGCGAAATATGTTTTTGATTCAGGTTTTTGATACTTTTTGAAAATTCATTGTAGAGCAACAAATATGACTTTTCAAAACTTTCAAACAGTGACATGAAAAAAATGTTTAAAAAATTCTATCTGTCAAAAAAATTTGACATTTAGTTTTTGACATTTGACATTTTTTTTTAATGATACTGATGATCATGTATATGTTTTTTAATAACTAAGGCTCGGATTATTTGCAAAATGCATATTTGTTATTAAGAGGTATATCAACAAAATTATAAGTTTTCTATGCATGTCTAATGTTTTTTGATTAAAATAAACCAATTAAAAAATGCATATTTTGGCAACTTCGTGCATATTTTAGGAAATATTGCATATTTGTGCATATTTTCTTCAAATCACAAATTTCTGTTTAAAAATTTCAGTTCAAGTTAAAAATTAGACAGTTTAAGAAAAGAGATCCGATTACAAAATATATTAAAGAGAAAACAACCGGTAATTCGTAAGCCGGACTCAAAAAATTAGTATCCTGCTGAGTGTTTTCTTTTTGAATTCGTTTTATACAGGGTAAATATAAAGTATGGAACGAAGCGTTTTTTTTAAATCATTTGTCTCTAGAAAATAATACTTAATATAAATTAAAGTAATATAAAAATGTGATCTTATTTTGAGAAAAAAATTGTTTTGTTTTTGAGTTATGAATTTTTTTTGTCAAAATTGCAAAACGTTTGGTTCCATACTTTTTATTTACCCGGTATTGCTATAATACTTCCATTCGGATAATTTTATATTTTAAAATGATGTGACCTGAAAAATAGAGATTTCTTAGAAAAGATTAATTACTTACTAGGTTATTAAAATGGTTTGTCAGAGGCAAAACCAATTTATTTATTCTCTTTCGTTCAAGATGTCAATAGTACAAAGTCGAGAATGAAAATGTATCCCAACTTTGATTTTTTATTGATAAAAGTTTTTCATATCAATGCATATTTGACATACATTGGAGCATATTTCTTAATATCCTGTGCATATTTTTGTGAAAATACGTGCATATATAAGCGCATATTTTACGAATTTTTCGTGCATATAATCCGAGCCTTTATTAATAACTATTTAGTAAAGCTACAAAAATTTTGCCAATAAAAGCCACAAATAACATTAAACGTAGTTACAGTTCAGGATACAGCTTTCTTGTTTTCTCTTCTAATAGCCTGTAGCGAAAAAACTTGGAAAACTATTTTTCCAACAGAAATAAATAGAGTCAAAGTGGAAAATCTAAACTCTCATAACTTCGTAATTTTTATAGATAGAATTTTTTTAACATTTTTTTTTCATGTTCCTGGTATCTTATCTTACTTGAAAATTTTCTCTGGGGCGCGAGTTCTGGCGCATTCTGTATAGTCCGAAATATGAAATTACACCACTGAATAATCAGTTGGTAGTTAATAGATTAGCAACGAAAGCAATATTTAATGGAAAATGAAATACAATAGCAAGTTTATTTTATTGTAGAAATCTTGCTCTAATTATTTCCTTCTTCCTCCTTATCCCAGCCCGAAATCTCGTTAAATAAACGAAATTTGGTCCAAACGCTTCGAACATAATTATCCACTTGTCGATGTAAACACGGTAAACTCTTATCGGTCCAATCTCGATCAATTTCCCAGACATCAGGACCGGACGGTTACAAAGGCGACTCAAGACGGGGCGCCACGTTCTGAGCGTGTCCGCGGGGAAAACAACCATACCTCCGCTGCTATAATTATGTATCCGAGCCGCGAACCTAACCATCTTATAACACCCCGTTTAAACAACGAGTAATTACCGTGGACGCGACTTAAGTGGCCTCCAGTCACGCACTCTTCACGCCCCAGAGTCTGGTTAGCATCTAAATACTGACACGTCTTATTATAAAACACCTTATCATTATAAGTCACCGTGCGAATCCTCAAGAGCCAGCTGCAGTATCCCTAAATCATGATCAAGAAAAAAAACACCAAAAATGGTGAAAGATGACTTAAAGAGGTGTGCAATTTTAAATCGCAAAGAACCACAAAAAGATAGACTGGAGAGAAAATCATGAAGCGTGGAATTATGGAAAATTAGCCTTAATAATGAGAACCGTAATCATACATTTAGGGCCAGTGTTTCCATCAATAACAACTCGACTGTTTTTGTGTAATTATTAGCTACTGGTTTTACATCAGCTGTGCATTTCTTCAAGAAAACTCTTAATTGAAATACACATCAGCATTAACTTACTTTATCTCTAACGAGCGCTTCCATTTCTTCTTTTATATTTTTCTTTTTCCTACGAGTTTAAACCCACCAGAAGCATTTTTCCCGTTGAATTGAAATGAAAGTGTGTCACTTATTCAGCAATTTAATGAACACGTATAATTGGTAAATATTTGGTAATTATATAGGTATTTATTGTTCCAAACGTGGAATTTGGCGTCACTTTCGTTTTAAATTAGTCGAACTTCTAGACAATAGTTTTCGTAACAGCAACAACCACTGTAATAATAGTTTAAGATACTGTGGTAGAGTGTAACCATGCATAAGTAATAGAACATCTTGACCTTTTCGAACCCATCCCTTAACTTTGTCACGAATCAAACTCAAAGGATTACACAATGTGAAATTCACATTTAAATTTATAGTGAACTGTGAGAAATAATGAACCAAGGTGACATTTTTTAAACATTTTATACCTACTAACTTTGTTTGAGAAGGAAACATATTTAAAACTAAAAATTTGTTGGCAACACTGAATTATTGATAATTATTAGCAAAATTATATGTAAATAGTCGACTTTAGACTAACTTTATTTAATGTGTTTAACGTAATACCAAGACACATGCATATAAAAGAAATGTAAATTATATTTTTTGGTGTTCCGCGCTGTTTTTGATAAGTAGTAAGTACTACGAGTATAAATAGCCACAAGAAACACACTTCTAATAAATAAAATAAATAGCAATACATTTTTTTTTAATTCAATTACATAATTAATAATTCTAACTAAATTGATTTTTAAACTCTTTTCTATTCTAATGATTTGATATCGAAAAGAATATAGATTAAGAGACTTACGAGATGTAGTATATCGTAATGCATATGAAACAGTATAAAATAGGTACTTAATTTGAAAAAAAAGTAACAATCTAATAAGTAGTTTGTACACTTACTGGCTCTTATACCATAATAGCTTACTTCCCGGATTCAAAGTGGAGCCAGGAAGCTTAATTTAGTTCATACTGTCCGGTAAATTAAGCTTCCCGACCCACTTTGAGTCATTTTAAGCAGGTAGGGACATACGTAAGAGTCCTAATAAAATACATTACGATACACATCCGTTAAGCCTTTTTGTACATCATCAGCATTCGACATTTTATACTACTAACTGCACTAGTTAAATTAAATAACACTTTCGAAAATCTCAATAGAAATTCTGATACTGAGTCTGACGTGTGATATTTGTTTGTAAGTGTTGATATGATTTATTACTTACTTGCAAAACGTCTTGATGATTTTGTTTATTTACTTGCTAATTTTAGTGTTGCTCTGTAGGACTTTGGATCTAAATACGTTTGCAGACAAAATAGTACATGTTATTCGAAGTAAGAGTGAGTTTATAGGCTCAACTGAATTATTTCCCTCACTACGTTCGGCAAAATAAACATTCAGCTTCGCCACATAAACTATCACTCCTAATAACATGATAAGTATACTATTATTATTTATATTTATTAATAATTAAAAACGACGAAACAATATTTAATAATTAAAACACACAATCATTGGCAACCAGTTATACACACATACAATTTTGTGTTTTTTTTCTGTTAGATGCACAATCGATTAAATTGCACTCGTTAGGAGTTTCACGAAATCGCCCAAGAGCGAAATTTTAGTTTTGAAACACAGCTTGTAGGTTATAATTTTGACAAGCTTGTCAGTTTTTAGGTTAATTTAAGAATTTGTAAAATAAAAGCAACATGTTTACGCTGAGAGTCTTATTTCGGCACATGAATTGTGTAACAATGAATAGGAATTGTGTAACTTCCTCACAAAATTTGCAAAGTTACATTCGACAAATGTCACCCCTTTCCACGTTTTCTCAAGACAGAATCAACAAAGAACACTCACCTGCCCTGACTTTTGTACGAAATTACGCAAAAGGCAAAGATAGAAAGAAGGAAAAAGGTGACTTTTATTAATCAAATGTCTCTAATTACTATATATAATATGCCAGTTTAGGTAAAGCCAAAGTACAAGTTAATGAGAGCCAATTATCTGAAATAGTCAATGTGGAATCTCTAAAAACTCAAATGCAAAAAGCTGTTGATTTGTTAAAGGACGATTATATGAAACATCTTTCAGTAAGAACAACCACAGGTAACTACAGAAACTAATTAATAGAAATTACATAGAATTATCATTATTTTAGGTTCAGTTGAAAGCATACCCGTTGAACTTGATGGTAAAACACATACATTACAAGAACTCGCTCAAATTGTCAGGAAGAACCCTAAAACTTTAGTTGTAAATATGTCAGTCTTCCCTCAAGCTATCCCTGCTGCCTTAAAAGCAATAGAAAGATCTGGAATGAATTTGAATCCACAACAAGATGGAACAACTCTTTTTATTCCCATACCTAAGTATTATTGCCAAGCTTTCTCTTATGCGGTAGTAACAATGAAAATTTAGGGTAACAACAGAACATAGGGAAAATTTGGCAAAAAGTGCTAAAACTTTGTTTATTAAATGTCGCGATGGGATCAGAGATGTACAGAATAAACAAGTCAAGTCTCTTAAGAAAAAAGACAAAATAGCGGATGACATGGCCAGAAATTCCGAGCAACAAATTATTGCGATTGCTGATGGTTTTATTGCAGAAGCTGAGAAAATACTGGAAAGTAAGCAGAAAGAATTGATCGGAAAAAATTAATTGTTATGTATACTTAGGATGAAATAAATAAAACGATTGAAAAATTATTTCGTTTATTGATTATTTAATAAAAGAGAATACAGTTTAGTAATTCCTGCAAAATATTGTGCCGTGGCTGWCTCAATTAAGACAGCCACGGCACAAAACCAATCCAATTCCTTAGAGGTAAAACAGAATTCTTTATGGAAAGATGAAAAGGCCCCTTTATCCTTATTCCGTATCCATTGCTACCGCTGGAACCGGATCCCTGGGGCCTTGGTCTTGGTCCCCCGCTTCATCCCTGAGTGGACCTGGTGGTGGTTCTTGGGATGCACCACCTCTTCTCTCTTCACCTTGGATCATCGCCAAATAAGGCCCAGTTTCATCGTCAACCAAAATCTTGAAACTTTGTCCTTTACCAACATAACCAATGGAAACATTTTTAATAGTTAAATCAACTTCAGGAGGCAAAGTGTCCCTAAGAGCCCTCAAGCCATGTTTAATCAGTTCTTCTAGAGAACATGAAGACAATTCTTCCAAGTGTTTCTCCAGGTAGGTCCTAGCACTCTGAGAGCGTGCCCCAATCGACATAGCCTTGCAATCGTAAAAATTAGCGGAGGGGCAGGTTTGGTAGATGTGGGCCCCTTGATCGTCATACCCCGCCACAAGAAGTCCAACGCCGTAGGGCCTACGGTCGTATCTTTGAGTGCACAACTGCATTTTGTTACCTAGCTGACTGATAAGGCGGTTTAGGGGCAAATGGGTGTCGTGCGAATACTTGTAATTGAGGCATTCAGTCCGCATATAACGGCTGAGAATTCTAGCGTCAGCTGTGAGACCTGAGATGGTAATTCCGATGTGGTCGTCGATGTTAATGATTTTCTTCTGATAGGCTGATAATTCAGATGAGGCTCTTTTGAGAGCGATGAGAACGGCGTGAGTCTTGCTTTTGAGACCCACGGTGGCAGAACCCAAATTTACAGCCTCCATGGCATATTCCACCTGGTGGAGACGGCCCTGGGGGCTCCAAACGGTTACATCACTGTCGTATTGGTTACGAAACATTTTTAGCACAGATTTTTATTGAACTTTACCGGTTTTGTTGTTATAACCATGTAATGCTGTGTCACTTATGAGATTTTTTGGCAGAGTGACATTCACAATTTTTGACAGTTTTAATAATAAAGGTCACTGTAACCAAACAATTAAGGTTTCTGTAAGTTAATAATTTTTATAATATAAAAAACTGTAAATATACTTTTAATTTCCAGTAACAGATGGCAGTAAAAAGGTTTACAGAATTCTATACCTATTTTGCTTTGAAACTAAGAGATGGCTCTAAATATAATTTTTTGAATTTAGGTATGGAATATTATTTTTTTAAAATAAAATTATAGAACACACATTAGTGATACAAAACTAATTAAATCAAAGTTTTCTAAAAACTATCACATTCATTTACTGAAATGAAATAACAGTAATAATACCTACTAACAATTATTATTCTTAGCAATTTTTTAACTTGAACGGCGTGTTTTTGAGAAATTTCTGGCTTATTTCTGGTTTTTTAATAATAATTAATTATCTTAACGTTTAAATTGTAGAGAACTAAATGTCATTATTTTGCAATCAAATCAATTGAGGAACTAAAAATTAGACTGTAACCTCAATTAAGTGAAATCCTAATATGTAGTTAGATCTATTTTTTTGCTTAAAACGTTACGCCAGTGTTCTACTAAAAATATGAACAATAACTAGATTTATAATTCTGTGGATTAGGCCACTCTAGTTCTAAACGTCTGAATTTATCGTGTGATAACTGTCAAAAAAAGTTAAATTTTATTGCAACTAAGACAGAAAAAAGTACGAAAACATATTAGACAAAAAAATATTTAAAAAACTGCAGCAATCCCTTATACATATTACAACAATTTTTTGATTTTAAATTTTGAAAATAATTCATGAGGACTGTGATTAGTCGTCACTCCTCAAAACTGGTTGGGCGCATGTTTAGAAGCCGATTTAGACCTTTGACATACTTGAACTAAATCTGATATTTCTGACAAATTTATCCAATTTACTTTGATTTCTAATTGGATAGCTATTAACATATCTAGAATATAATCAATGTCATAACAGTCGCGAATCTCAGTTGAAATCCCAGCTAGCTTGCGAGTGAGAACTTTTAAGACATCTAAGACTGTTATAATATTGATTGCATTCGCGGTATGTTCTAGTTATTTACGTATTCAAAGCTGACGAATGGCGATCGAAGGAGTTGTTTGAGGCCCGATGAAGAAAGGCTTTAATCCTCCCGCGGTCGTTATGGCTCTTCACAGCGTTTTCCTTCGTATTAAATTATCACAAAAAAAATATTTTTTAATTCTAAAAATGTCAATATTTAATCAAAAATTAAATCGTTAGAGCAAAAGTCGGTCTGTGTGATACTAGAGTGATATTGACAGCTTAACGATTGTAAATTGTTGAACAACGATTAAATAAGGAATTTTTTTATCGGTTTTTGTCGACAGAGCCGACAGTTGACAACAATTAAATCTAAAAATTTGTTTCAAAAAAGATTGAACTGATCGCGTTTGACCTGTTCCCCTGTCATACATTTTACATTGCACCATCAATGTTTATTTTGACGGCGATAATGAATATTGACAATTGACAATTGGGTAAGGTAATATGCTACCTTACCGATTTTACATACAGGATAGAGTTATGGCTTAGTTACCAGCCAACTTTTATAAATGTAAGCAGATTAATTTAATTTAATTTAGTAGTTAGTGCCATTGGTATTGTTGGTTGTGGCAAAAAATCAGAAGAGACACTTGAAACATTTACGTTAATCTAAAATAAAAATTAATTTCTGGGATGATTCTAGGAATTACAAGATCGTTTGATAACAAATATTTATTTTATGACAGATTAAAGTCAAATATGTATTTTCTTATTTGTATGAATTTAATGGTAGCGACTTTTAGCTCTAAATTTCTCAGTGTGGCAAAGTCACAATGTAGATATACAGGGTGATTGAAAACAGCTGTATAATCACTAGGGTGATTGTTAGAATAATTGATTTACTTTCAAGATTGTAAAATGCAGACAAAAATTTTGTACTAACTTTCTATACATACAGTATGTCCCCGGGATTGAGGTTTTATTTATTTGACAATGATGTCAAAGTTAAAAAACAAGGTTATTTTTAAGAAGAACTATCATTATTTAATTATTAAATTAATTGTCAAACTGACATATAGTTGTCAAATAGATAAAACCGCCAATGTGATAGGACTTAACAAGCAGAGAAAAATTAAGAAAGTCCAAAATTAAGAGAAAAATTAACTTTTTTCTTTTCACTGAATCAGAATAATGAAGTTTTAATTACAGATTTGTCCGTTTCAGGTAAAGCAAAAAAATGTTTTTCCTTTGCAGTTTTGAGATAAAATCAAAGAGCGTATACAAAAAGTAGCTATTTCTTCCACTTGTAAACTCAATCCGGGGACATAGTGCAGATACAGTCCTTTAAAGTAGGTAGTTGTTGTATGTACAATATTCAACTTTGTTTTTTAAGTCTAGCCATCATCTAAAATTTAGCAAAAAGTGCAATTTACCTAAGTATCAAACCGTGCATTTTTTTAAATCTCAGAATAAAGCCTTTGTGCTGCAAGTGTATAAATCCGAATCCCTAAAGCCAAGCGAATAACCAAAACTCCGTTTCTTCAATAAAGGGCAAACATGACTGAATATCCGCATCTGAAAGCGAGCCAAAAAGAGCAAAAAGTCGACGCCAGCATATGGGAAAAAATGTTATCTCAGCAGTTCGCGTGCTGATGACCCTATTTGAGCCCTCGTGTCGTACTGATCGAGCGGTAGCGACGGCGCCGTCGAAGGCGGAGCGTCGCGACGCCCGAATCAGCTCCGCCCCGGCGAAGGGATGGCCGGAGTCCCGAAAAGTGTCGCTAGAGGGCCAGGCAATGCATGTGTAAGCTCGTGGCAAAGTACATGGCGGACCACTCATTCGATTGTTAAATACTTGATTAGCTCTAAATAAACATTTAGTTTGTGTTCACTTCTGATCGATTGTTTGGAACTTCCGGTTTGACAGTTTTGCCTAAATAATGGGTAATGTTCTATGTGATGTTGGCTTTTTTCGTTGTGTAGACGCTTTTTCAGGAAGTGGTGTGCGATGAGCTTTTTCATAATTTTGTCGATAAGTCTGACCAGTTAACCACAATGATTCAAAATTTTTTATCACAAAAACTGCTTTGGGACTTATTCAATTTTTAATTCTTAATCATTAGAATTTATATTCAAATTTCTTTTTTGTTTTTGTTTCTAAATTAAAATTAGTCCGTCCTTAAAAGTTAATAATTAAAGTAAACATATTATTATGACTCCCCTTGAAAAATATAATTATTTTAGCAAATTTGAAAATTATTTCAAATTTTTATTTCACGTTAAATAGCTATAAAGATAAGGGAGGAAGAAAGTTTTAAAGTTTAAAGTGTGCCAAACAGAAAGATTGCTTCCAGGTGTTCTCACTGATCTATTTCTGATGTCATGGGGTCACGCATATGAACTACTGTGGTGACAGGTCTATTAAAATTTTTCTGTTTTTGGGGTAATTAAAAAATCAACACATTGTCAAATACTTGATTTCTGTATACTCATACGTGTGAGAGGCGACGACAGTTGGGACAAGCTCCCATATTATTAGAAGAAAGAATGAAATTTTTACGGAAATTTAAAGAAATTTATTCACATGCTTAGTTATTAACACCTCGGTTTAATTAGTTTTTAGGTGATAAATAGAACTTGATTTTTTGTTTAAACGTTTTATAATTGTAAGCATTTATAGAAAATCGTGAATATCTTCAACTGTTCTACAATTAAAAAATATGAAAAAAGTACTGATGTTTCTAAAAATTGTAATACAAAATAATAACTAGGTATTGTAGGTAAACATTTTTGGAAGATTCATTACAATGTTCTCTCAATCGTAAAGACTAAATTACTAGAGTATTAGTTTACACATGCGGAATATTATTATATAGAATTTATTATAATTTAAATACTTATACAGGGTGCGCCAGAACTCGTGCCCCAGAGAAACTTTTCAACTAAGGTAAGATACCAGGAACATGAAAAAAATATTTAAAAAATTTTATCTGTCAAAAAATTTTGACATTTATTTTTTACATTTGACATTTTTTTATATCTATTTAATGATACTGATGATCTTGTATATGTTTTTTTTTAATTATTTAGTAAAGGGACAAAAATTTTGTCAATAAAAGCCACAAATAACATTGAACAGAGTTACAATTTAGGTTACAGCTTCCTTGTTTCCTCTTTTAATAGCCTATAGCAAAAAAACTTTGAAAATCATTTTTCCAATAGAAATAAATAGAGTCAAAGTGCAAACTTTAAACCGTCATAACTTCGAAATTTGTATAGATTTCTCTGGGGCGCGAGTTCTGGCGCAAACTGTATAAAATTTTTAAAAAACTTATTGCAAAATAAATTTTATAGTTTTCACTTCTTTGTTATTTCACTAATACTGCATCTAATGTTGATTAGTTTATTACCGTAATCCATATTTTGCTACTTTTTTGTATTTTGCAAACTTTTTTGTAAATGTGATATAAACATAGAACTTTCAACAAAGTAATTTTTATTGTAAACATTGCTAATATCAATTGACCTTTAGTATACAAAATAAAATAAAAATTAATTAATAAATAAAGTGTCTGTTACATATGGTTTGAACAAACTCATCAGCTTTGGCTAATTATAAAAATTTAACGCAGATGTTTTAACTTTTACGTGTCATACATAGATTTTAAAAATAATCTCTGTTTATTCTAGAGTTGCATACAAAACTTTCTCTTCCCACATACTAAATTAATAAACATAAGAAACTGATAACTTGTCAAATAATGTTTAATAATATTTTGTCAAAATGAAAATATTCAGTTCATTTATGTGCAATATTTAAAATAAAAATCGGTATCAAAAAAATTGTTTATGCCAAAAACCACTCAAAAGGTTCAATTAATTTAATTCCAGTTTATTTTAAGAGTGAAAATTCGTATTTCATTTAATTCATTTCCAAGGGAATAAAGTATCAGATTATCAGTCAAAAATAAGAGAATAAAGTAATAAAGCGTCACTTTTTTCTCTATTAGGAAGAAATAGGTTTAATAATTAAGATTTAGTAGTTAAAACAAAATTTTGCAACAACTTTTTTGAAACATAATTATATTATATCCCTTTTTAATTTTAAAAGCAATTTTTTACAGGGTGCTCCAGAACTCGCGCTTCAGAGAAAAATGTTAAACAAATTCTATCTACAAAAATTTCAAAGTTATGAGAGTTAAATTTTGCACTTATTTCTGTTGGAAAAATAATTTTCCAAGTTTTTTTGCTCCAGGCTATTAGAAGAGGAAACAAGGAAGCCGTATCCTACATTGTAACTCTATTTAATGTTATTTGTGGCTTTTATTGGCACCTTTACTAAGTAATTATAAAAAAACATATACAAAATCACGAGTACCATATTGACATATAAAATGTCAAATGTTAAAAAATAAATGTCAAATTTTTTTGACAAATAGAAGTTTTTAAACATTTTTTCCATGTTCCTGGTACCTTATCTTACTTGAAATTTTTCTCTGGTGCGCGAGTTCTGATAAACCCTGTATATAAGAATTAATTGTTGATTAATGATTGCTTTGATACTTAAGACTGATTTCCAAGATGTCACAGATATTTCAGGAAGAAAGCTTGTATCTTGTACCTTATAACAAAGTAGATACAATGTCAATGTCATTTTTTGACAAACTTATTGTATAATATAAGTACTTACCATCGGTGGACATAAAAAACTGAGACAAAAATGATAATTGTATAAGTCAAAAAATTAGAAGTATTAAACGTCGGATAAATTTGACTTTTTATAAATAACGTTATAAAAGTTATGGTATTATATTGTCTTAAACATTAAGTTAAAGTTCAGTTTTTTAATGCTGTTTACATTTACAATAGTTTTATAAATAACACAATTGATCTAGCATCTCTTTAAATTGCAGTCAATTGTTATTTTGAGTGACATTCAAAAGTTTTATACACGATGAGCAAATTTTGGATGACCCATTTTTCTTCTTCAGCGATGGTATTACCTTGGCATTCTATCAATTTTGACATTATTTTAACAAATTTCTTTAACAATTTCTGAATTTAGCATTTCTAATTAAATAGTGTTAAAAATTTTTTGAAGATAATACAAGTTTTATAGTTTAAAAATCTCGGTTTATTAAATTCTCACTTCTTAACAGTCGAATATAAATTACAATCTCGATTTTTAAAGTGTCTTTTGTTGTTTTAATAGCTATTGCACAATTAAATGGAACAATTTGATTTAATAAATGATTTTATAAAGTATTATTTTTATTAATTTCGAAGTAAATTTTAAATTATAGTTATTTTGTTGTTTATTGAATGACAACATATTTTATAATATGGTCTATTTATTTGGTATACCTACGCTAAAAATAAATAAATGTACAACACTAGGAGCTCTGTTCGGTAAACAAAAAATCATGTAATCTACAATTTTGCAAGAATCTAGTGAAGGTTGACCAGATCACCTGTAAGCCATCTGAATTATTTACGCCCCGCAATAATAACAGTCCTGTCTGCTATATGAATCAATTAATCACGCTTCAGTTAAGCTCAATAATCCCCCTACGATCCGATTATTCGGCTCTTTGCCTATTAGCTCCCTCGCCCTCTACGGCCTGCATACTGCACTGTCTAATTGATAAAATATTCCAGCTATGTTTACACGCACACGCACAATTTTCTCCAAAAAAACAAAACCACCAAAATCGTGTTCCCGAAATACACGAGTATGAGATTTAAACATTGAATTTCTTCTGACCATCTGACTGGAAATGAAACTCTTGAAATGCACCGACTGACACCGAGGGTGCGCTAAACACTAATAAGCATGACGTTGCATGAAATCGCGATTTAAAGAGTTAAATAGGCAACAAAGGCTTTATGTTCCGGATTAACACCCTCAAATTTGCTAAATGTATTCAGAGACCGAGTTTAAAGCTGGAGATTGATGAAGTTTTACCGCAGGTGGCTCTTGTAGACAGATTTGTACACAATTAGATGGATGCAGTTTTGGCAAATCGTAGTTTTCGACATTATGTGGGCGTTTCTAAAACGAAGCTTTTTAGGTAATTGATTTTTGATTTTTTAGCAGCGGGATTAGGTCCGTTGTGCAGCATGTGTTGCAGACCCATTAACGATCGATTCCTTCTAAGGATAATGGACGTCTCATATCACGAACATTGTGTGCAGTGTTGTGCCTGTGGAGACCGCCTGCATCACACATGTTTCGTCAAAGACTCCAAACTCTACTGTAGACTCGATTATGATAGGTAAGTTTGGATAATCGCCACAAATCTCATTTCTTTTGATGTTAATAAAAAGTCTAACAACTCTAAGTCTCACAAAAATTTCCGATGGCTTCATTATAAATCTTCTTGATTTACTAAAGTAAATCTAGGAATAGAAATTTGCAAATTTTCAGGACTACCAAAATAAGAGCAAAGTTTTTTAATTCTTCAGTTTTTCAGATGCCAGACATATTTGTTATGCCTACTCGTATAAATCAGACAGAGTGTTTTTTAATTAAGTTTAGTTTACTACTTATTGTTAGTAGAATCCGAAGAACTATTTTAATTATTGGAAAAAAAGTTTTTTTTTGAGACATTTTCTAAGTCAACTCATAGAAAAACTCTTTCACTTAATATAAGATTTTTTACTTAAAATCACTAATCAAACAATTCTATCAATGTTTGTTAACTGGAAAAATTAGTTCCGAAGAATTCACTAGTTCCTGGACTATGCAGGGTGATTCATGAGGAATAATGAGCCCGACCAAATATTTGATAGAACCACCATTACACTTTTGTAAGTTGTTTTGCGACACTTAAAAAATATATACAGGGTGTTTCACATAATTTTACGAGGCCTGCGCCTGTAAGATGCAATCAATAATACATATTCCGATACGAACTCGATTACAAATTTTGAAAAATTGGAAAATCTTCTCTAGTTTGTTCACCCTTTCAAAAATTACAACGTTAGTTAGTGATTAAGAAGATAAACTATAGAATCATATTCATGCCGTCACTTGATGGAACAAATGATAATTGTTTCTGAAAAACTGCAGTTTTATGACTATTAATGAAACAGTGATTAGTTTGACAACTGCTGTCATGGGTTTCCAAAAATTAAATAATTAAATGTGTGTTTTTTGTATCCAGTCTTCTGTGACTTTTGTATATTTGGGTGCGTACATTAGGCGCAAGCCTCGTAAAATTATGTGAAACACCCTGTATAATTTGGATCCACGATGCCTATTATTGTCATCAATCATCGTCATTGTCATTTTTGACAAACGTTACAAATTTATTATAAACAGCAAAATATGGATTTATTCCAATGATGAGAAGACTGACATGATTTTAGCTTATGGAGAATGTTTGAAAAATGTATATCTTGCTTCCTGTGTTATGCCCAATTATATCCCGAAAGAAAGAGCATCTTCTGACACGATCAGGTTAGTTTTGAGAAAATTGGGTTCTTTTTAAGTTATCAAGGCAAAGGATACCACTGGATGAAACTTGAATGAGTGCCCCATTCGTATTTTAATATACCCATTATTGTGTTGGTATTTCAATTATTTCTGCTTTTTATTATTTTAATGTCAAAACTGACAAATTGTAAGTGTGCTCGCTATGATTTCATATTTATTACAAAAAATCTTTGAAATCTACCTGACTTTTTAAAATGTAATGTTGGTTGCATCGAGAATTTGGTCAAGCTCATTATTTCTCGTGAATCATCCTGTAGATTAGATTTAAAATTTAATCAAACAACAATTAAATTAAACTTTTTTCTTGATAACTAAAAATAGGTGAGTTATAGACAGGGCCGTAACCAGGATTTTATTTCGGGGGGGATTTCTTGTTGGTCCATGAAAATAAAATGCAAGGAGGCGGATTAAAAAGCAAAAATTTCTAAGTACACGTTTTTATTTTAAATTATAAATATATAATATAAATTATTTAAATTTAAATATTCATTTTTAAAACAAATATTTTCTATGAACATATAACGAAAAATGCTACGTAAAGGATGCATCTTTTAATAGTTTTTTTTTCAATATTTCCGAAATCATTTTAGAAAAAAATTTCAAAATTTGGTACAGATGATAACTTTTATACACCTAAACAAGTACAATAAAATGTTGAAATTTTTAATTAGGGGCTTCCTAAACTAGATGGGATTAGGGTAAAAATTTACTGTATCTTGCCTGTGGTTTCTTACTACTTTCAGCAACAAAATTTCATAGTTTTTCATAAAAAAAGGTCTTTTGTGTTTTTCCCATACAATTTACGGATTTACGGTAAAAATCGGTTTAAAAATTTATGTTACAGACCATAAACAACATAAAAATTAAAAATTAAATTTGTTTTACCGTTTAGGACGCCCCTGATTAAAAATTTTGTTATTTGGCATTTGTTTGGGTGTACATATAAAGGTACCAAATTTTGTAATTTTATCTATTCTGAAATATTAGGAAAAACCCTTTAAAAAACGTACCTTTTTTAGGGGGTGTAGCTCCTTTTCATAGCATTTTTCAAAACACTTTTATCTTAAAATTTAATATTCTATTAACTATTTAAATTTGTACCTAACAATAAAAATGAAACACTGTATAATTAACACATGAAAAATTAATTCACAAAAATTTAAAATCAACTCACTAAAATAACAAAAAGACTAAATTTCTAACACTTATCACACTATATAACAAAGTGCTCAGCATTTTGGGGGGGGGGTGGGGGGTTGAACCCCCTAATCCTCCCCCTTGGGTACGGCCCTGGTTATAGATATGTATTTTAATGACATAGATAAATTAAAACTACAAAACATTATTTATTGTTAATTTATTGTTTGACAAAATGAGGAGCAGGCGAAGCACTCAAAGAAGACATCATGAACAATTTTTTTTCTTCTTATTTTCCCAATACTTGTTAGAAGCGGTCTATTACGTGCACCTCCGTTAATAAGATTCCGATATATCTCAATGAAGGTTTCCCTTTATGCATTTCTAAGCGACGTCGGTGAATTTTCTCCCCTGCATATATGTGACACGGGATTAGAACTATCGTGGAAGAACGGCAGGCAGCATATTGCCAACCTCCCCCGATGCAATATGTTCCCGAACCGTCGCGTGTCATGGTTTATATTATTTGAGCCCCTGGAGGAACTCTTTCATACATCGTCGAATGGAGAACAAAGCCATCGCATTCCTTTATTTACAACAATAACACAAGATATTGTTCCCATATATGAGTTTTCACATCATATTGACATTTTTACAAAATAAGCTACGTCTGTATATCTGATACGATTTTTATTATTTTAGTCTGGTATTTGACAAAGCTCTATTCTGTTGACTATTTACAATTACTCGAATTAAAAGCGGCAAAAGTGGTATCAATCACACCGATTCCGGTGCCACCACTCACCAGCAATTGTGTTTTCATAAAGTTTCGTTCAGTTTGTTATTTGTAACTCTTGTTTTCAATGCTGAAATTAAATGTTTTTACAGATTTGGGAAAGCTCTCATGCAAAACAACAATCTGTCATTTTATCTTGTCGCCACATTTACTGAGTATTTGTATTTACATAATGTATATAAAAACTTTCATAGGCAATATTTGAGGCATCAAACCTGTTGTTTTCGTTTTATTAAACGTCAGAATTCATTTATGTGGTCCAGTGAATGTTGGTCGTATCTATAAGGTCAAAGTCACAAAATAGGCATATATAACAAGTTATTGTGCGAGTTAACGATTATATTATTAGTAATAAAGGCCCCATCTAGTAAATACATAAATCTCGTCCTGCTCAAGGTCAGTCACGTGTGCATCGCCTTGAGCCAGGATATTGAAGCTCTGGCTGGTCAACAGCGCCAGTGTGTCGTTCTTGTGTAAATATTGCTCCGTTTCAGCCTCCACCAAAGCGTGAGATTGTGAGTTTTGCTAACACCCCGTTTTGGGGAGGATCCCATCCCCTGCTTATGAGAAAGCAACAATTTTGCGGTTTCTCGTCGAACATTTTGTCGCAAATTTTAATTATTAGTAACAGGTAAAGAACGCCAACTTTGTACCGGATTGCTGTTGGGTACTTTGGATAAACTTTGCCCTCAAATATATATCTATGTCATTTAGGCAACCTTCGACGCGAAGGCAAATATTTGGAGAGTTCGACGGCAAGTTAGAAAGTTCCAGAAATGAGTTTTTGTCAAAGACACAACGACGAGCCGCTCTGTTTAACTTTTGCTCTTAAACTTTTGATCAATAGCGTGTGAATTCTCTAATTACTTTTCTTACGTTCAATATTGGGGTGGTGAAGGGAGGGAAAATCGGGGTCGGATTTTATTTTATTCAGATAAGGAGGTTGTTTCATCTTGAACAAATATTTTCGGACACCTGTAATGCGAGGGGATGTACGAATGAGATATTCAGAAATGCACACACATGACTCCCCAGTTGCGACATCCTCGCCCTCGCGGCTTTTTAACTGAGATATATAAGCGGGGTCGGATCGTGTAGGGCAAATTTGTGATCGAGGCAGTGGCGGAACAAAATGAACAAAAATGACAAAATTGAAAATTGCAAAAAATTTTGCTACAACTGTTTAAAATGCATCAAATGCATAAAACAAAATTAGTATCAGATAGTAAAAAGCTCAAATTAAAGTACAAAACAGTTTCGCAGATTCCACCGTAAATAGCAACAGTAGTGCACAATAATATGTTACTTTGCTTTGAACGCTTGTTTTGTTACATCAGACTAATTTTCCCTAAATAACAACATAACACAATAGAATACAAAATATGCAATATTTTATATTTTAGAACAAAGTATGTACAAGAATGCGAGTTTGGTAATTTATCGAACACCCAATTTAAAATTATTTTTCTGATTTTTCTTAAGTGTAAATATTTACTAGAAATTTTATTTAGTTAAGTGTTTTCAAAAATTTCTGCTACTGTTTCAATAATTAGAATTTATTTTCTTAATTTTTTAGGCAGTAGTTTACTTAGCTAAAAACTTATAACATGCAAGTCTCACTTTTACGAAAATTTATTGTTATTTTAAAATGCAGATAAAACTTTGACAAATAATCTGTTTTTTGCAATTCCATGAATACTTTTCAGAATCGTAAAAAAACAACAAAAAAGTCCAACACTTAATTTTTTTATTTTGCGTCTGAAAGAAAGCTTATTTTGATACCAAAACCGATGCTTTAATGAGCCATTTCATTTCACCCATTTTTGAGGGCTGAAATAAACCAGTACAATTTAGTAAATTTTCAGCGGCGTTTTGAGCGATTTCTTTTATTTTAAGTAGTGTGCACGAAATATTTGCAGTATTTATTGTTAATTCAATAAAATTTGTGTGAAATACTCGAAACTTGACACTTGAAAATCGAATTTTTCAAATTTTAAGTTATTTATTACCAACCACCACCTTATTACGGCAAAATATTCTAAATTTTGAAAAATCGATTTTTATGTTATGTTTTTTAAGTACGTAAAACGCGCAAAATAGAAAAAAATAAAAAAACTTGTTCCATAAGTTACTTCTTTTTTTTATAAAACTCGCACTGCTGCTCGTTTCATAAACCTGAACTCGTTCCACAAAACTTGCCTTACAATACGCGTTCTTTATACTATTTCTGTTACAAAACAGGTAAGTTAGCCAAACAAGGACCACTTAATTTCTACAACTTTTTATATATGTATACCTACATGTGTTTTCAAATATGCAAAGGTTTCGATTTATTATCGAAATTTTACTTAGGTTGAAGTTGTGTTTAACAATGTGTAAAAATGCTGTTTTGTTAATTTTCTACATGTTTTTACATCAACATAAAATATTACAAAAGGCCTTTTTTGGAACCTCTTAGCCCCAAATAAAGCCCACCATCGACATTAAATAAAGCTCATATTTAAAACTTGGAATAGGATCTTTCAGTAATCGTATTAACATTAAGTTAGAGAAAAAATCTTTAATAAACAAAAAAAACAACATAAAAACACAAGAAAAAATTAAAGAAATTTCAAAACATGTATTAATATGTAATTAGAAATATTCAATTTTAACATCCAACACGATGAGGCATCAGTTTAAAATACAGAGTGCGCCCGAACTCGCGCTCAGAGAAAAATGTCATGTAAGTGGTGAGATATCAGGAGCATGGGAAAAATATTTTCGAAGTTATGAAAGTTTCAGTTTTGCACTTGGACTCAATTTATTTCTGTTGTAAAAATAATTTTTTAAGTTTTTATGCTACAGGCTATTAGAAGAGGAAAAAAAGAAGCTGTATCCGAAATTGTAACTCTATTTAGTGTTATTTGTGGCTATAATTGGCAAAATTTTTGTATGTTTTCTAAATAATTATAAAAAACATATACAAGATCATCAGTATAATTAAGTATACATAAAAAAATCTAAAATGTCAAAAAATAAATGTCAAAATTCTTGGCAGATAGAATTTTTTAAACATTTTTTCCATGTTTCTGGTATCTTATCTTATTTGAAATTTTTTTCTAAGGCGCGAGTTCTGACACACCCTATATATTTCACCATTTACAGTCAACTAAAAGACGTATCTAGGACTAACTTGTATGATGATAGGTAGCTGGAGATCCGTATTTTAAGTGGTTTTAATTTTTAATTGGGACAGAAAAATTGACGGTGGGCCATATTTGGCGTAAGAACCTTAATAAAACTTAAAACTGTCACCAGTGCACACCAGTAACTCTAGTAGCTGTAATAAATTAATGAATTAATATTATTATTGGTACTACTTTAACTTTTTATTTACCTATAGGTACATTCACCTGCTCTTGTTCAAATAAAGTAACTAAAAGTTTTCGTAGAACCTTTAGAAGGTGGATATAGAAATTTTGTTAAAAACAGGTCTTAAAATTTACAAATTATAATCTTCATCTTTTATTGAAAATAAAAAAATTGTGTTTTGCGTACGCCACTGTTCTCACCAGCAAGCTGTCGGACGACACAATAGTGACGTCGCACGTGTGGTCGCGGCATAAAACGACACCACAATAATTAATATATTCACAGCGTATGATTCAAGCTCCGTCTATTCCATGCTATTAAACATCGATTGCTAATCACGTTCCCCTTGATTCATTTTTAGGCTGTTCATAAAGAAATGCTTGGCATGTTCGGAACGAATAGCGCCTGAAGAACTGGTGATGAGGGCCAGCGAAAATATTTTCCATTTAAGATGTTTCGTGTGCGTGGTGTGCGGAATAAGACTTCAGAAAGGAGACCTCTACGTCATCAAACAAGGACAGCTTTTCTGCAGAATCGACTACGAGAAAGAAGTGGAGATGATGCAAGGGTTCGGACATGGTAATGACTGAAATTTACTAGTGCCAAAAGTTTAGAATGAAACCTTTTGTTGACTTAGGTGAATTTATCTGCGACGAACTTTTGCCGTCGAATCGGACCCACGACGGGCGCCGAGGACCCAAAAGACCTCGAACAATTCTCACAACTCAGCAACGAAGGGCATTCAAAGCTTCTTTTGAAGTTAGTCCCAAGCCTTGCAGGAAAGTTCGAGAAGCTCTTGCTAAAGATACCGGACTGAGCGTCCGAATAGTTCAAGTGAGTGCAACTTTTCGTTAAGAATTGCGATTTTTCTGCCACGTCAGACGGAAGTAATCGCGTTGTTTCCGGCAGGTTTGGTTCCAGAACCAGCGCGCCAAGATGAAAAAGATGCAAAAGAAAGCGCGTCAGGACAACAAAGGAGGCAAGGACGCCGACAATGACGATAAGAAACTCAACGTCAAAGAGGAAGAACAAAGCGAGTAGATCCACTTTAATTAATTTTTAATTAAGCGAAGGGGGCGTTTTTCTAATTTTATCGGGTCATTTGGCAGGTCCGCGATCGACGCCATTTTACAACGATAGTTGCAGCGACACGGAAACGACGCCCGGAGACGGCGACGCCCTCATGCACCCCAGGGGCGACTCCAAGCACTTTCTCGCGATCAAAGAGGAAATGGAAGACGGATCGTATTTTAAAACCAACAACAACTTGCCGCTGCACGCCTTCTCAGGTATAATCCGGTTTTGTTTTATTATTTTTGTTTTGCGAGTTTTGTGTAGGGTTAGGAGACGTTAGGCGCGAGGATGGGTACATGGGGATCTCATTTCCTTCTTCGCTTGATTCGGGACAGCAAAATATGTTTATGACGCCTCCCATGGCTCACCAGAATCCGCCTCATGCAAATCCCGGACTTAATCCCATCGATCGGCTGTATTCCATGCAGAATTCATATTTTTGCGCCGAGGAAGAACATAATATGATAGAACCCTGAATACCCAACGACAAAACATAAGACTGAAATTTTGATGGACGGCTTCATAAATCTCATTTTTATCGATGTGTACTCTCAAATAAAACAATTCATAAGAACACCGGTGTTTCACTTTCTTAGTAATCCTTATTTCCTCCTACACAGACAAGAAGAAAATTTTATCAAAAATCGTTTACGTCTCAGCTGATTGAATTTTTAATAAATTGTAGGAAAACAAAACGTTCTCGGAAAATCCGAGACATAATAAATATCTTAAGAGAAAATAATCTCGAATTATTTCATTGACAGTGATAGAACTGTTATCTGCATTTAGAGCTGGACAATAGCTAAGAGTACTTTACTGAGCTGTAGGCTGTAGATAAGCTGCATAGTAGAGCATTTGTGAAATGTTAATTCGCATAAAAGATGATTTTCCTTTTAGTTTTTTTTAAAATTTTATTAGCTTTATTGTACTTTCTTTGATTTAAATTAAAACATTTGTCGTTAAGTCTTTAATTTGAAATCATAATAGTACTTTTTTAAGTTTTTTTTTCATTAAATAACGAAAAAAAAGATTTAACTTAAAAAATGTTTATTTTACTTAGGTATGCATGGTTATATTTAAAGTAAATTAAAACTTTGTGAATTTGTTCGTGAGATGCGTAAAAAAAAGTATTGGTGATTTTTTTATATAAAAAATGCATTATTATAGCGAAGATATTTCTATATTTCATTATCTGAAAAGAAAAGAGTAGTTATGAGAACAGTAAAGCATTTAATTGTCACTTTTTGTATTATAAAAATCATTACAAATAATTATCTTTGATTTTTGAGGTTTGGTAACCCATAATCCAAAAAAGCTACTTTTTTAAGCTATAGCGTATGAGGTAAACTATTTATTGATAGCTATGTGCTACATACAAACTAAAGATAAATTTGTTTCAAATCAACTTAGAGAGTACTAACTAAACTGAACTTTGAAGTTCAGAAGGCATAAAAAAATGTGTATCTAATACATAATGCTGTAAACCCCTAGTGACAAATTTAAGACCAAGAAAAGCCTGTAGAAGAAATATTGTGGAAAATTACAATCCATTTAATGAAACGTATAGGTAGTTTTTTTAAAGAGTAATAAAAACTGCACTATATTAAATTATTTCTTCTGTTCCTTTGTTCATTCTTGATTTTAGTTACATTTTGTAAAATTCTCTACTCACTTTCAAAATTTTCATTAACAATTTATAATTTATAATTTCCATTCGACATTACATTGATTTTCCATTTTTAAAATTGCTTATGGTTGTTAAAAATGACTCTATAGAATTTACAAACTGGTCGTTCATTTTCAATATTGAGTGCATGCATTCATCTAAATCAAACCTCGATGGCATTTAATTAAATGATATTTTGTGAGTGATATTTATTTAGTGTGCTGCAAAGTGTATCCGCATATTTGTTTTATTGACATGTCGAGTATTTTATCACCGACATAGTATTTGCCTAAAATTCATTCATCAGTCCGCCCTGATCCAAAACCAATAAAAGTGTATAAACAATAATTTAATTTTTACTTGATACTTTTAGATATTATCCGTGTAAACATCAGCCAAAGAGTATCAGGTGAATGAGTATTCAGGTGTGAGTTCCCAAGTGTCGATAGTATACACCTGCAAAAAAATGGCGGCTCTCACGCTATCTTATCAACTTTTATCTGGTAGGATTTCCAAAAAAACATAAAAAATAAGTCTAAAAATATCGTTCCCTATTTTGAGGGCTTAAGTCGCTAGAACACTCCATCTGGTTCAGAAGTGGAAAAGTATCTGCACCCTTTAATCCTATAAATGCACATATTGTGTAACATTGTCAGGTAATTCCATGGCTAAGGAACAGGAGCGTTGATTACTACCAAGCATTAAAGCTTTAATAACGTTTGACAGTAATTCCTCTCATTGCTTTTGCCAAAGGGGCACCCTCTTCAATAATCGAATATTACCTAATGCTAACACGACCTCATAGTGGGCGACATTATCATTACCATTGTTTGCATAAGCTCGTGCTCTGAAAGAGACTATGGGAGTTGTAAACTCAATCTTGATGTTATTACTGTATTTTCTAGAAACGGAAATGTAGATAATCAGAAAATGTGCTGCTTGGCAATACTGATCTTGGCTAAAATAGATAGTTTAGTTCACCTGATTATCTTCCAATTGGTTTATAAAGTAGTTACATACATGTATTGAATTATTAAATGTATGGAGAACTAAACTTTTGAACATGTAATAAAAATAATGCATAAGTTATGCACCATTATTAATTATTAATTACAAAAGTTAGTATTAGAAGCAGACCCGTAGCTAGATAAGGAGGCCAAGTAGGACTGAGCGCTACTTTAAATATTCTGAGACCTACTATAAATATTTTGAGCCCTACTTTAAAACTTTGTTTTTTTTATCAACTTTTTGTAGAAATAATAACGTATAAAGTTATAATATGTACAAACTGAATCAAAATTATTATTATTTTTTTAATTCTTAACCGACATTTTTTATTAGTTTCTTACTGTTTTATACACATCGTTATCTTTCTGGTAAGCATAAGAAATTAAAAATAAAATGCAGAAAAAATAAAATAAAAAAAACTTAAAAAAGTCATAGAAATTTTTATACAAACAGCTTTATCTTGTTTTCTTGCTTCATTTTATAAGAGGTGATTGTTTTTTGTTTTTATTTTTTTGTGTTTAGGTTTTATATTAAGTGTTTTCATGTTAATTATTTAAAAAAAATATACAAAAAACAATTGCCTCTTATCAAATAAAGCAAAAACAAAAAAATAAAACCTTTTATGTTTAATTGTCAATATTTTTTTGAAGTTTTAATTTTATTTTTTCAATTTTTCTTATTACCAGGTAAACATGTGTGCTATTTAAAACAGTAAACAAAAATGTCAGTTATCATTTAAAAAAAAATGACGTCACAGCTCAAAAACGAATGACGTCATAAATATCACAAATGTCAAAACATAGCATTTAAAAAAAAAATAAAATCGACCTGTTCGAGAATTTTTTTGAAAAAACTGCAGAACTGTTCTAGCCCTACAAAACATTTTGGGAGCCCTACCTAAAAATTGTTTCTAGCGACGGACCTAATTAGAGGCAATTTTTTTAAAAAACAAGAATAAGAAATTGCATTATTTTTTATCAAACTGTCAGATACCTGTGTTATGCAGCACCTAAATCTCACTTTCAGTGCAAAGTTGTTATTTTTAATTAATTATTTTATTCTGAGATTTGTCCCAGATTTGGTTTTATTCACCCATAAAAATAAAACAAAATTTTTAACTACAAAAACAGTTCATATATATTTACTTTTCTTATTGTAAATTCAGTTAATAAACATGTATCTTTAGTTTATTTAAAATTGCTTACAATAAACATTAAGAAAATTGGAAATGTTATAAATAAATACGTATTTTTATCTATTAACACATTAATTAACGCTTTAATTTGTATATACTTTTATAAATCAAAGGTAAGCTGAATCAGATTTATGGTAGAAAAAGACAGTCCATTTATTTCTGAAAAGTTACAAATCACTAACAAATCAAAGTATAATGGTAATTAAAGCTCGGAAACAGTTTGTTATTTTATTATATTCTCACCGAAACAAAGCATTTACAATAAAAGCTTAATTTTTTAATTTCATAAGCTACGATAACACATGGTACAAAAATACTGTTACTAGTACTAGTAAATTTGTACGATTTTATAGTAGTGTTTTCCGAAATCAGTGTATTGGACAATAAAACCGCAGGATCACAACTTATAACCATTTTTATTACCATCGCTTTAGTTTTATATTTTTTCGATGTTGCCACAACCGAGATTTAATTATCATCCATATTGCAAATCTTACATAGAATTGTAAAAAAAGAATACCTAAATAAAATCGGTTGACCATTATACGAGGAGGTATAAACTTGCTTATAATTTTCTGTAAGTTTCCGCCAAAGTGGGTATATATTCAAGACGCGACCTCATAATGGATCTCCCTTTCTGGTGGAAACATCGAAGGAAGGCGGCAAACACTTAAAACCGGAACTTGCGGAGGTTAAGACCGGAGTCGAGAAAATATGGCGCCATGTCGGGACTGCAATAAGGCTTTATTATCCTTTATAAACAGGTAAAAGTGGTGAAGCAGGGGGCGAGCGAATGAGTTCGCCTTCCCTTAAGCTCGACTTTACGAGCGGTCGTTTAAACCCGATGACAAGTGACGAACTGTATGGCACAATATCGTGCGCCATTCCGGGATCCGGACTACCGCCCGGATATTGCAATGTTTATGCGTCAAGCTGTAAATCGTCTTGGCCTCGTAAATCGCTTATTGGATTCCATTTGCTCGGTCGTTATGTGTAACATGTGCGAAAATGCTGCCGAGGCGATTCGTGACCGCACCAGAAATCGACAAAAACTAATTTGCGCATTTTATTATTTTAAACAAAGTGCTAAGCATAATTTCAACATAAGATTGATAACACAATTAAAATTATGCCTATGCGTGATTCCAAAAAAACTTGCAACTTTTCAACAATCTTTGAATGTTTTTTAGCAGTGTAGATTTACGTAAATATCACAGGCCGACAAAAAAAAATCATGTCGTGACAACTTGACAAATTTTATATCATTTTGTTCGTCTCAGTGAGACAAATCAAATGCCCTTAAAAAAAAATTAAAAGTCCACACACTTTGAACTAAATAATTTTAAATAATAAATTTAAAATACTTTAACTTTAAAAAATCATTACTCAATAACTATTAGGCCGATTTCCTTCAAATAAAGACCATTCTAAAGGGATGGCCTTGCCCTTTAGAATGATATAAAATTTGAAATTAAATGTTAGCAAACTTTTCTTTGAACAGTGTTCGAAGAAGTTCGAAGTAAATCTAAATAATCTAAGAAAAACCCTACGAGTAAATTTTTTTTTCATTATTACCATCGTGTAGAGCATCTTTTTATTAGTTGTAATCCAAATTTTCAAAAAAATATACCGAGTA